AAGTGAGATGGGTGGGACTCTGCAGAAACCTCCCAGCTATCAAAGAGTAAAAGTACACAAATGCACTAATTTGGAAAAATCTTAACATAAAAATATTACGCATTAATAGTTCAGCATTTTGTTTAAAAAATCCTCTAAATATGAAGACAATATTTTATTCCTATTTTCAAACGTTCAAATATTAAAAATATTCTTAATGAGCACCCTAAAAACAGATATTACTGTAATCGATAATTATCGGAATCAACTGCTGGCTTTGCATTTGTAAACAAACGAAACACTTAGAATTTACGTGTGATTTATTATTTATTTTAAAACAGTTTTTTTAAACACTTCGAATTTACGTGTGCTATATTGTTTATTATTTATTTATTTTATAACAGTTTATTTAAGTACAAGATAGTTGAAAAATGCGTAACGCTGACTGGATGACGAAATTGCCACCACATCTACGAGCGATGTCAATTATTTATTTAGCAATACCAGGTACTCGATCGTGAGGAGTGTATATAATATACATTGCTTAAAACTGAGGTTATACTTATTCATATTAACAATAATTAAGAATATTTGCAGGATCACACAATTCAATGACTTATGGCATATCAAATCAATCTGAGATCGCTGGTGATGCCACTAAAGCAATGCGTTATTTATATCGGGTATTTCCATGGTTTCTACGTCGTTGGGCGAAAACACAGACAGCAACCGTCGGTGAGCAACTACGGTTAGGTATTCGTTATTTCGATTTACGTGTTTGCTTGAAAGAGGATGAATTTTACTATACACATGCAGTTATTTCAATGGATGTCGCTACACCGCTTTATTATATACGAGAGTTTCTCAGTAAACGGTCAGGAGAAACTGTTATACTAGATTTTCAACATTTTTATGACATGAACATTGCTGACCACATGAGACTGCAAAGAATGCTGATACAAATTTTTGGAGATATGCTGTATAAGCCCTCAGACGGACCACTTCTTAAATGTACACTGAATTATTGTACAAAGTATCGTAAACAAGTGATTATTGTTTACAGATATAATTCGAATGCATTAAGTAAAGATTTTTGGCCGAGCAAAAGCGTTTATACGCCGTGGCCAAATGTGTGTTCTATAGAACTTCTCAAGGAGTTTCTTCAGCACAGCCTAATGTCACGTCCGCCAACAGATGGCTACGTAACACAAGTTGTATTAACACCAGATGCGAAATATATTGTATTACGAATTTGTTCAGGATTAAAGAGCACAGCAAAAAGAGTTGATAGAAAAATGATTCCTTGGATTAGTGAACAGATGCCCGGACCTTATACATGTCGTAATCCAAAAGTCAATATATTAATTGGAGACTTCATTGAAATAAATTGTGCAGCTTTCTGCAATACAATCATAGAATTAAATGAAAAAATACCAATTGATTTTGCGACGCATGTTGAATGTCCTGAAACACGTGTTAGCAGAATTGACCATTTGGACGATTCAATTTTTCATGATGACTTTTAAAGAATGTTCAACCTAGCTCAGTGTGTAAAATCAATTCAATGGAGAGTGAATAAACTGGCTCAGATATATAAAAAACGATTGTTATACAAATCTCTGTAAGATGTTAATTTAATAGGCAATGATATCATTATTAAAAAGTATGCGTACAAATCGAGAATGCAAGTACCGTTTTTATAAGAATGAAAAAAATTATGTTCCAGAAAGCCATCTTTATCATTGAGAATACGTATGTTGAAAAATCATTTTTTTCACATTGCACTATGTCGTAAATGCGTGAACACTAACTTTTGAGTCAATAAAAAATTTGATGCCTTCGAAATATGATGTTATTTACATTTGCTTAAAAATCAGTTGGTGGAGTATAACACAAATTTGGTAATACTTTATGCGTTCATATTGAAAGAAAAATATTGAAAACACTGATATACAAAAATTGGTATAGTTCGGCCATGGCACCCAGAAAAATGCGGAGTATTTGAATTGATCATTATGTATATTTATTATGACAGAATACAAAATGTAGCTACATGGCACCATCCAACAATCGATGTATACATATATAATATTATAGCCTAAAATTGATTACACTTTATACGATAAGATAAAAATGCGTCAACTAAAATATTTAATATATTGGTGATAGTTATTTAAATTATCTTTATAAATAGCTTTATTTATGGTATTACATTTATAAGGAAATTTTTTTACATAATAATATATAATGTGTAAGCACATTACATCAAAAAAGGGAGAAAAATGCAACACAGTCGGCACAGAAAAAAATCAACATTGCGCTGTCAGCTGTCAATTTTGAACTATTGTGAATTTCACAAAAAATTTGTTTATTAACCGTGCTACATAAGCTAAAATTATTTTTAAGAAAATAAACCTAAAACAACGTAGAAGTTCTTTTGTGTCCAAAGAATATCATAAAAGAATATGCCTAAAGTTCGTAGAAGTCGCAAACCACCACCAGATGGTTGGGAATTGATTGAACCAACACTAGAGGAACTTGAGCAGAAAATGCGTGAAGGTAATTTCAATATTTTTAATAAATAGTTTTCAATATACTAATAATTGTACATATTCGTTTTAAAATAACTTATTTAGCTGAAACGGAACCACATGAAGGAAAACGTATCACGGAATCTTTGTGGCCAATTTTTAAAATCCATCATCAGAAATCACGTTACATTTACGATTTGTTCTTCCGTCGTAAGGCCATCAGTCGCGAGTTGTACGAATATTGCCTTAAGGAAAAAATTGCTGATCCCAATCTTATTGCAAAGTGGAAGAAATCTGGGTATGAGAATTTGTGCTGCTTGCGTTGTATACAAACCCGTGATACGAACTTCGGCACAAATTGCATCTGTCGGGTACCAAAATCCAAACTGGAAGAGGGTCGTATTGTTGAGTGCGTCCATTGTGGGTGCCGCGGCTGCTCTGGTTAGTGAATACATATATACATATATAGTATAATATTTTTATATTAATCTAAAAAACTTGCTAAATATTAATAATAATTAATAAATTTTTTGATGACAGCTTAAACGCAAAATAAAATCAAGAAAACTCAAATTAAATTGCAAAATGTAAATGTAAAAATGACTAAAAAATATTGAAATTAATCAAATGTTAATTTTATTTTTAAATAAAGATGCTTGCAAAACGCAAGCAATTAAAATTTTGTAAACAAAAATTTCTTTTCTTAAAAAAGTTTGATTTTGTTTTGAAAAAGGGCGGTGCTATGTAGTCAAACGCTCACCTGAAAGCAAGTACATAAAACCTTGACGGAGAAATGTTATGAAGTATCGTGGGTAATAAGAATGAAGGTGTAGCTACATGTGTATATTAAGTCTAACTTTGGTCTAGTTAGTGAAATCTTACCACCTGCGGATCCATGAATCTACGGAGCTCGTATGTTTATGGGCATGAAAACAGATGAGCGACTTGGAGAAGTGCTGAAGTTCCGGTACACATACGGAATGCACGTAAATATGCGTAACAAATAATGGTTTACCATGTGACTAAATTCCGACTTTAATTGTGCGGGACGCATTTCAACCGGTGAAGTATTGAGCGGGAGCCTGTTGAGAAGCTTGCTGTAAGACCGCCAGAATATCGAAGTGGATACAGTTTGTTTATGAACACGTGAGGGTCTTGACTATAATTGATTTCATTGATGTTATCTTCGTCGTGGTATGAATTGATATATTTCAACAAAGTGGGAAATGTAGGTATATACTCTTCTTGATATTTGTTGAAAATTAGTTTATGCTGATTCGTCTTGCTTGTGGGCGGTGAATCTGAAGGTAGGGTTTACTTCTCCAGAGGTTTGGAGTTAACTTTTAATATTGCTTATTGATATGGCTTTCTTCTCGAGGTTTTAATGTTTAAATGTTAAAGTCGGTTTCTCTTTTTTTAATATTTTGAACTTTTATTTCGTACGTTTCGTATGTTTTGTGTTCATCATCAGGAGATGTGCTTTTGCCTTCATCAGGAGAATTCTTAATATATGTTACGAATCTTATCTCCTAAACCAAACTATTGGTATAATGTTGCTCAAATTAGTTGAGTTTACTCAATCCAATGTCAAATCGGCGTACCTGGAAGTTGGGATCGGCCCTTTACTTTGTTTTTGATCTAAATACTTACCATGTTCATTTAAGGAGTTTTTTTATTTTTAAAAGGCTTAATATGTAAGCCCTTAAAATAAAAGAAAATACCATTTTATAATTTTTATTTTTAATTTATTTTATGAAGTTTGCTTTTTTATAAAAATATTGTCGACGTGTCGAAGTTATCTTGGCTTCATCCGGGCGAATATATTCTTTCAATTATTTCTTAAAAAATCCAAGGTAGCAGAATTATGTTATTAATTTCTTTTTATTACATCTGAGAACAATATTTGCGGATAGTCCAGGTATAATATGTGAAAGTCTTTATTGTAATTTAAGTCATAAAATATGGGAAACGTTATTAAAAAAATATTTCAATTTTCAATTCCTGGAAAATTGTTATGAAAATGGAAATGATCTTTAAATGCTCCATTAGGAGTTCAATTTTTGTAGGAATTATTTGATATTTGATGGCATACCTCTCCGAGGAACCTGTAACCATAATTTCAGGGTTTTATCCTTTATGTATTTTTTGATGGGATCAATCTTGAGGTCCCTGAAGATGTCATTCGTCTTAATGTACCATGGTACTTTGAAAAGTCTTGTCAGAGCCTGACTTTGTGCAATATGTGTAATAATAATTAATAAAATAATAAAGTATGTATATGTGTGAGATACATCGCACTAGATAATATAATATATATTATATATATATTATAACTATATAATACATAGTTTATGTGACTTAAAATTGGTGTTTAAAATTATGAAATAATTATATATAATTAGATTAAATAAGAGGATTTATAATATGGTCCTTAGAAGTTCAGAATATACAAGTATATATCTTAAAGATTTTTCATAGAATATCGCTGAATTTTTGTTTTTTTATGCATTTTAGATTTTTTATATAATGTCGATGATTGTATATAAGTCGAAATTTCATTTTAAAGTATAATAACGATTAATTATAGTCAAAATACAACTTACTTCCTCAGGAGAATACTGATGATTGTTTGCAATGACAAGCCATCAGTTAACTTTCCATATACCCCAAATAGCGTTTTTCGCCGTTTTGCTAGAAGATAGAACAATATAGACTAAGTCCATGCCGTCGAGTTTAGATAATTTAAAAGTCATTAATAGTCATTCGACTTTTGTCTAATACTGATACTATCAGACTACTATTAGAATACTGATACTGCAGAAAGTCCTAATACAGTTGAATTATATTATCATTTCAACTGATTATGCTCACTTGATGATTAAATGCTATTAAAACTTTCATAGCAAAAAATAACAAAACTCCAGAAAAACATGCGAACAAAAAAGTCAAGTACGGCTTTGGATTAGTTGGTTAAGGTTCGCTGATTCTGAGCTTCACATTTGGTAGGACCCGAGTTCGAATCCTGGTACTTGCAGTCTCAAAAATTATTATTTACGAATAATTAAACACAAGAATTACTTCCAAGACCACTGATGATGGGTATTTGGCAATACTCGAAACAGTTGTATGGTCAGCCAAAAATTGAATTAATTAAAATAATATAAAATTAATTTTTGTTGTTGTAGTTCTCTACTGTTCGAAACCTCTTTATGCTATTAAAAGTCAATTATTAGCGAATAATAATAATGTGCCCTTTATAAAACTGCTCATGATCAACTACAATCACACCGGTGAACTTGAAAGACCCTGTTAAGGATTCTCTAAACTATATAAAAGAACAAAGAATCATTTCATAATATTGTCTTTGACAATCCAAAATATTTGTTATACTAGTTTTCATATATATCATTTATGGTATAATGTTATTTAAATATATAAATAAATATTTATTATATTTAATATAACTGTTTCAAGGATCATATAATAGAATATCTCTTACATATGGGTCAAAATTTAAAGTCAAAGTAGGGTTTCAATACTGATTTTGAGTAAAAATTGGAAAAACAAATTTAAATTGCTTCTTGATCTGAGTAGGCTATCCGAATTAACTAATGATATGTAGTTTATTTGTTATCTATATAAAATATCTTACAAAATTTCAGAAAAATAGGTCAAAATCTGACAAATAATAATCCAGATATTGATTTAACAAGCTTCATTCAGTTATCTTCTATTTTGAGAATTGCAGCAAACTAGAGATAAAGATATTCAATTATCATTGGATAATTTAATACCAGGTAAATGTAAAAATAAATGGATATCGATGGAAGTTGATCTATAGGAAGTAAGTAAGAAGTGCACCAGCAAATTATAGAAACATACGATTTTTAAGGAAAAAAATGATTACAGGTGTATCATGGTAATAATAAAAATTTCTCACACCCTCATAGCATATAAATCGTAACGTTCTGGGAAGAATGACTGAAGTAGATGTGTAGTGCACTTAGCTTAATCAAACTTCTGGGACTATCGTGATAACTATATATATTTTATTTACATGTTCTACTCCATTGTAGAAAAATAGAACCACACTGAATCAGGTCATATATCAGTATTATTCACCATAAGAAATTTATATATAAACACTGCTCTATAAATATAAATTATTTATTGCAGAAACAGCATTGTAGCTATCAACATTAGCAGTCCTCTAGAGTATAAAGAATATTATACATAAAAGTATGCCTAAAGTTCGTAGAAGCCGCAAACCACCCCCAGATGGTTGGGAACTCATTGAACCAACACTAGATGAACTCGAGCAGAAAATGCGTAGAGCAGAATTCGAACCACATGAAGGAAAGCGTATTACCGAATCTTTATGGCCAATTTTTAAGATCCATCATCAGAAGTCACGCTACATTTATGATTTGTTCTTTCGTCGTAAAGCCATCAGTCGTGAATTGTATGAATATTGCCTAGGTATGAGAAATTGTGTTGCTTGCGTTGCATACAAACCCGTGATACAAACTTCGGCACAAATTGCATCTGTCGGGTACCAAAATCCAAACTGGAAGAGGGTCGTATTGTTGAGTGCGTCCATTGTGGATGTCGCGGTTGCTCTGGTTAGTTAATGGACGTTTGTAATTTAAACCCATGACAATATATAATATATTATTTTTATTATAAATAAAGATACAAATAAAAAAAATTTGTAACTTGAACATTAGTAAATTTAGTTTTGATTTGGAGAGAGAACATTTCAAATAAAATTTTTACTTGCATTGTTCTTTCAAATGTATTGTATTTCCCTATGAATTCTATACAATTTTTGACCTTAAAAAGTTATAATTTTTACTTGATAGATATAACCTATGCTTTTTGGCAGATCTTTCTTAGATTCCCTGTTTCTTGGTCAACACGATTTTTTACGGTTCTCGTACCAAAGAATCATCTCCTGTAGTTATGCTAAAGAGGTGAGCGTCCTTTAAGGAAACATTGTTGGTAGAACGCATATCAGTCATTGATATTCTGGTAATTAGTATACAGGTTCCAGTACTTTTTGTGATCATATGCGCTCTCTAATTGTCCGTTGATAATTTTCAAAACAATGAATAAAAGTATTTATTGATTAAATATTGCTAATATTAAGCTAATATCTATATTAAGCTAATATAACATAAAGCCAATAGTTTCTCCATTCACCGTACTCTCCAGATCTATTCTCAAGTAATTAAGTTTGGCAAAAATAGATATATTTTTTAAGAGCAAAGATAAATCATTCTAAAGTCTTGAAATAAAGGCAACACTCTCTCTTTAAGGAGTGTGTTTCTCTTATCTACAATGAAAACATATTCAGGGATCTGTTAGAATGGTCACGCGGGTTTTTCTTAAACGACGTTACTTGTCTGAGATCTGAATACTACTTGGTTCACCTATGTGATGAAAATAAATTGAAGGTAAATGACTTGATCTTTCAATAAATTTAGCACATATGTTTGACGTTACTAGGAACCGGATAGTAAATGAATTGCTTGCCCACGTTTTTATACTAACAGTTGAGGATAATCACCTTAATAATT